GGGGGGGCGGGCAGAAGACCACTTACTGGAGGGAACAGGAGACGCACAGAGCCTAGGCCCTGCTTACACTCTGGGTTTCCTCGCGCCCAGCCCCCGCCCCTCCGCGCTCCGCCTCAGCCCCTCACCTCCGTCAGGAACTGCTGGGCCTCCTGAGCCTGCTGTAGCTGCAGCCGCCTCCGCGTGGCCTCTGCCCGCAGGCAGCCCATGGCGCTCTCCAGCTGCTGCACCCGGGCGGCCACGGCGCCACCTGCCAAGTGCCCGGCCTGCGCCAGCTTGTGTCCCGTGGCCACCACGGCCTGGGTCAGAGCCTCGTGGCTACTCAGCTCGCTCTCCAGGTTCTGTGGAGTCGGAGGAAGACTTTCCTCAGGGGACCCCAGTGTCGTGCAGGAAGCCTTACAGGATCCCATGGATTTGCCCCCGAAGAGTTCCCTGTCCTTATGGCCAGTGAAGAACTCAGGGTGCCCCCCAAGCCCCCCAGAGGTGCAGAGCTCCCAGCACCAGTGGCTGACTGAGGCTTGTGCTCGATCTGAAGTTCGGGGTGCGGGGGGGAGCCCACACCTGGTGCTTCTCTTGCAGGTGTCGCACGGTGCTCAGGCTCTGCCCGCAGTCCTGGGCGGTAGCCAGAGGCAGCTTCTCCTGCACCCACGCCATCTCTTCGTCAACATCCCTGAAGAACTGCAAGAGCAGGTTCCGGGCCTCCAGGGCAGCTCTGCGCTCCTGCAGGGACTCCTGCAGGCTCTCAAACCTGCAGTGGTGGAGGGTGGGGACGGGGCAGGCAGGGACCACGGCCATCAGTGTTGGGGCCAGACGGTGACCCAGCGCTCGCCCACTCAGTGCCCCCCGCCGTGGGGGGAGGGGACAGCCCAGAGGAGACAAGCTGGAGGGCAGGGAGGAAGGGGGCGGGCGGGATGCACAGGGGCAGCTCTACCTCCGAAGCAGCTGCTGGGCCTGGTCTTCCACGTCTTGGGCGAGGCAGCGGCCTTCCCCTGTAAGGACCCGGGCCTGGTCCAGCAGCCACCATGCCCGCCTGGCCTGCCCGTCCATGGCGGCCTCCAGCTCCCCCAGTGCCCCCAGGAGCCCGTCCAGCCCAGACTGGTCCGGGTCCCCGATGGGGGCGCTCAGCTCGACTTCCACAGGCTCCAGCCAGCTCTCTAGTTCCTCCACGCTCTGCCGGAGATGCAGGGCCTGGGGCAGAATGGGAGGTGGGCACAAGGGGGAGAGGCCCAGCGCCCCCTCCAGCTGCTCCGTGGCGCACAGAGCCCACCTTGCAAGCCTCTTGCAGAGCGGCTGCCTCCCTCCGGCTCTTGGCCCACAGCTCGTCCCAGAGCTCTCCCAGCTCCCGCAGCCGCTCCCGGATGCTCTCTGAGGCCGGGTGGCCCTCCTGCAGCAGCCTCTGCCCCTCCTACAGCCACACGGGGCACACCGCAGGGACTTAGGACTGCTGGTGCCAGGGGGCCTGTGCTGGCTCCACCCCCAGCCTGTGTGCTCGCTGTGTGTCCCGGGGCAAATTCTTGAACCTCTCAGAGCTCATTTTCCTTATCCATAGAATGGAGAGAACAACCGTTATTTTGTTTAAATGAGATAAAACATCAAACATTTTTAGCAGGACACTTTATACTAGACAGAGCCAGCCTGGGGCCAGGACCTGCCCTTCGTAGGTGGGAGAGGATAAATTTAAAAGATGCTACACTTTGGCTCCTTTACCCACAGGACCGCTCACTGTGGCCTTCTCCGTCCCCTAATGTCTTTCCTAGATGGCTTTAAAAACTATCCCGTCAAAACATGATCTTTAGGATTCTTGAAAAGGCACTTTGTTTTGGAGAGGGTGCTGCAGGAAAGCTACTGTTTCTCGCTACCCTTGGGTGCTTAGCATGATGCCTGTCTACAGAAAGCACTCGATGAATGTCGGCCATCTGTGACTCTGGATCAGAGCCCTCGTCAGGGCTCTGCGGGGTCTCCCCCTGCTCTCTGGCCTGTAGGCCCTTCCCACGGCCCTCAGGGCCTCACCATCTGCAGCCTTTGTTGGTGGTGGACACTTGCGTCTAGCTCGGCCTGGAGACTCTGCTGCTTCCACAAGTGGGCCTGCAGCACAGCGGGGTCCCTCCAGCCCTCTTCCAGGGCCACCGACTTCTTCTCCCTCAGCCACGTGGCCACCTGCACATACGCGGAGGACCAGGCTCTGCTGCCTCGGGCTCTCCCCTTCCCCCAAACCTCTGGACTGCCCCAAGGAAGGGGGGCCTCTCCCCGGAGCAGCTCCTTCCCCACCACAACCACTACCCACCCCCCAACCCAAGGGGAACCTCAGAGGAATCCTGCAGGAAAGTCTGCAGCTGCCGGAGCTCCTCTAGCTGGCGGCGACGGGTGCTGGCTCGCTCTACCAGGGCCTCTTTCCTGCCAGAAGGAGGGTGTCATGGGTCCTCAGGTGCCCTCCCTGGACCTGGAGCTGCTCAGGGCTGTGTGCGCATGCCCTCCCCATGGCCCTTCTCCTGGACCAGGATGCCTGGAATCTGGGGTTCCCTTTGAAACGGAGAGACCCTCTACTCCCCCTCTTCACTAAGTCCTCATTCCCAGTACGTCACAGTGTGACCGTATTTGAAGACAGGGTTTTAAAGAATTAAGTTAAAATGAGCTCCTCAGGGCGCCCCCTAACCCGCTACGTCAGGTGTCACACACACAGGGACAACCCTGTGAAGCGAGAGGAGGATGGCTGTCTGCAAGCCAAGGAGAGGGGCCTCAGGACAGACCACCCGGCCAACGTCTGGATGGAGGACTTCCGGCCTCCAGCATGGAGAGGACATACGTCTCCGGCGTTGAAGCCGCCCGTCTGTGGGGTTCGGTCGGGGCCGCCCTAGCCAACTAGTACAGCGTCCAAACCACCGTCTGGATCCTGCACTGCTATTAGGAAGAACTTTGAGCGGGTCCCCACCCAAATGTGTATGTACTTGTGTGTGTGCGTCTACTGATTTATATATGCGCGTACCGCTCTCTGTACCAATGTATCAAATACATTGCCATAGGCACAGAAAGAGTAATTAGGCACGTGATCTAAAAAATAAATAGGAACAGATGTCTAACTCTGCCCGCATCCGTATAGTCTCCACGCCGGTGTTGAGTGGAAACTCTTGTCTCCCTCTGCTGGGGCTACCAAAGGGTGTGGGGGCTGGAGATGGCACGAGGCTTGATGAAATGTGTACCCCTCCCCCCGCAGAGGATGCCAGAAGCCCAAAGGGAGGGGTCAGGGTGGCACTGTCCCGGGGGGCAGTCAGGCCTGCCAGAAACCACCTAAGGTGATTGGGGATCACGAGAGGAGGGTGCTGACAGAGACCAGCAAACCAACATTTGTCATCTGTCAATCAAAGACCTCCTGGTAGCCACGTGGGGTCCCACGTGCAAGGAGTAGGAGTGAACGGCCCAGCCCTACCCTTGCCGGAGTGTCTGCACGCGGACCCCGGTGGGCTCTCTGGGAAAGACAGAGACACCCGCCAGTCTGAGATCCGGCTTTTGGCCAACTCTGCCTTGCTCTAAAAGTCTGAGAAGCTGGATGAGGTGGCTGAACCAGATGGGCTTTTATGAGGACAAAACGCAGAGCCTGGCGTCTCGTAAGCCGTGCCAGGTTCATTTAAACGAGCGTGAGAAATGTGCCAACCTGCCTGAGTGGCGGGCACCATGCTGAGACATCAGGGTACCTTCTCAATCCTCCCCACTACCCTAAGAGGCAGGCATTGTTACCCACCCCCCGCCCCCGTAGACCCGAGACTCTGTGAGGCATTTCCCCTTAGTCCCACCATGAGGGGGCAGCACAGGAACTCAGGACACGGTGGCCCTGGAGGCCGAGGACACTTAGCCACCATGCTTCCATGAGGTCGCCCCTCCTTCAGTTTCCCGGGACACGCTTCTTGGTAAAACTCCCTTTTATCTCCCCGGGTGGCCACACGCTGGGCTGGGCAGGAGTGCTGGGGCCTTGGCATTCACCTCAGCCCCTGGAAAAGGCTGGTGAGCTTGGCCCTCCCGCCCATGGCCCAGAGCCAGACGTACCTCAGGAGCATGGCCTGGCACCGGCCCAGGGCACCCTGGGCCTCGGGGTGCCCACCCTGGTGCAGGCTGCGGGCCGCGGCCTCCAGCGCACTGATCTTTCCAGCCTGAGCCTCCAGGCCCCGCTCCAGCACCTTGTGCTTCTGCAGGAGGGTCTCCACGGCGGCCAAAGAGTCCTGGCAGGAGCAAGGACGCCGCTCCTGTCCACGGGGCTGCCCCTCCCGTCCCAAGCTGCCTGCTCACCGATGGCCACGCCACCCAACGCTCACCCACATGGTGAGTGCTCTGCCCAAACCCGTCCCTCTGATTTCTCAAGGCTGCGTTTGGCTTTAGGGCAGTGATCCTTAGCCAGGGAAGGTACTGGGGATAAGGGTCAGTGTCAGATTCTTCAGGGCAGTTGGAGCTTTTACACCTAACAGGAACACCCCCTCCTCCGCACTCCGGTAAGACCGTGTCAGCACAGGACAAGCTAGCCCCCGAGTTTTCTGAGGTCTCCCCTGAGTCAGCCTTGCCTGCCACAGGGGTTCAGACAGTGGCTGGAAGAACAAACCTCAGTGGAGGGAAGTGAAGAGGGCAGAGGTGAGAAGTTGTGGGAAGGAGGCAAGAGTGGGTCAAAGGGCCCGCGCTCACCCTCTAAGCTCCCGGGACATTCCCTGTGGGGCCGAGCCCCCTGTGCACAAGGACTGCAAACATGGACGGGTGAAGACTTCGATGACTGATGTGGTAGAGGGTGGGGGGCCCCCCCCTTGGCCTGGGGAGCTCAGGCAGCACTGGTCGCTGCTTTGGTAAAGCCCGTGTCGGCACCTACCCCCGGACCCCCGCTAGCGGGGCAGGCCTCCTGGCTGCAGAGCCAACTTTCCATCTGCTCCATAGAACTCAGAACCAGCTGTCAAGAAAGGAAAAGGCAAAAGGAAGTGAGCAGAGGGTCCTGTTGCTGGAGGTGGAGTGACCGTGTTGGTGCCCCGAGGAGAAATCAGGGACCAAGACCCTGGTTCAAAAGAACGATCGCACAGCCGGCAGGCTTGCTGCGGGCGAGCTGGGCGGTGGGCAAACCCCTGGAATAGCGGCCTCTCTGGGCTTGGCTCTGACCAGGGGACGGTGGGGTTAGGTGGGGGCAGGATGGAGGCTGCCTACCTGGAGCTCCAAGGCCTGCTGCAGCTGGAGCCGGTGCTCCTGCCAAGCCCCCTCCAGGCTGCTCAGCTCCTGGTCTAGATCAGCCAGGGCCTGGCGGAGGTCGGGGGTAGATGGGCGGCCGGCTGCAAGCAGTCGCTGCCCAGTGCTTCGGGCCAGGCTGATGCTGTCTGTCCGGGAGTCCAGTTCGGCCTGTCGCAAGACTGGCCTCAGATCCCCGAGGCTGGGGCTCCCACCATGCGAGAGAGGAGGCGCGAGGCGGGAGCACAGCGGAGTGGGTGGGATGCAAGAGGAGAAAGGCAGAGGCAGGTGAGGGAGAAAGGACCCAAGGGAAAGGTGGGATCACCGGTCGGGACAGGGCAGAGACGAGGTGAGGTCCCAGGGTCCCGGCCCTCACCTTGAGCTCCTGGTGCTCCTCCAGCCTGCGCCGGGCCTCGGCCGGGCTGCGCGGGGTGCTTCGGCCCTCCATCTCCGCCCGCAGCCCCCGGGCCCAGACCGCCAAGTGCCGCAGCTTGGCCTGCAGTTTCTGAGCTTCGTGTAAGGCATCCAGTGACTCCCCGCTGCCCACAGGTTCATCAGCTAGCCCTGGGGCCTCTGAGCCCCTCTTTCCCTCACACCCACGCCAGTGCTCTCCATCCCCGAATCCCCTTAGCCAGAGAAGGGCCCATGGGCTGGGAATTCATAGGGGGACAATGCCAACGGTTATTTGAAGGACGGATAAAGGCTCTCAGGGGAGATGAGGGTCTAGGGGAAGGGGAGAGACAGAGAAGCTACGGGGACTAAGTCTGTGAGGAAAGAGGCCCAGAGGTTCGTACCGCTTCTGGGCCCCCCTCCAGAGCCGCCACCAACTGTCCATCACCGCCCGCTGCTTGCGGCTGAGGCTGTGGGCTGTCCCAGGGCTTCTCTGGCAGACGCGGCCCACTGCCCGCTCTAGGGACTGTGGGGGGAAGCCAGGCTCAGGGGCTGTAGTCAGGGGAGCCCTGGCTGCAGGAGGCCCCCAGTCTCCGGGTGGGTGTACTGCTGAATGCAGTCTACCGGCTCCCGGGGTCTCGAAGCCCTCCTGCCCTGTGTGCCTGAGCTGCGTCCCACAGAGGAGGACACACCTCCGCCCGGGCCTGGAGGAGGCCCATTTCTTGCTCCAACTCCTTGTGTTTCCAGATCAGCCTCTGCACGCTCTCCAGATCTTTCCCATAGTCCGGGGCCTGGACCAGGGCGGCCTGGGAAGGAATACGTTACGGGCTTTGCCTTTGGCCCCACTGCCCCCTCACTGAGGGGTCACCGGCCACGGGGTTTCTGTGTGAGAAGCAAGTACCCCACCTGACCCCCTTCCCCATGCCCTCCGCTGACCCCAGGCCCCTTCCTTCAGTGAAGGAGGACGATTCCCAGGAGAGACCAGGGGATGGATTTCCTTCCGACCCAGTCATCTCTGTGGTGCCTCCACACACCGTGTCTCACTGGTCTCTCATTCCTTTGGGGGGAAACTGAGCATGGACAGACAGCCCGGCCTGGCTGGCTCGGGCGGGGAGCAGAGGAGTAAGAAGAGTGAGGCAAGAGCCCCTTGCACGCCCAGAACAGAGCCCCATCTGTGTCGCACAGGACTTCCTGGGGGGGCAGACAACTTCTTCACTCCCACCCTCCGCCAGCATGTAGCCCACGTTTCTCTGTGGTTGCTGACGCGCTCCGGGGCGACGCTCCTGCACGCTCTGGGCTTGCTCAGGGACATCAGAGGGAAGAGTGTGAGGGGGACCTGTGCTCTGGCCTCTTGACCCGCAGTGTTTCTAGAAGCCAGGTGGGCCAGCCACCAAGCCTGTAATGGGGTCTTCTGGGGCCCAGAGTTGATATCCCGAGAGCCCCTGGCAGACCCCTCTCCCCAGCCCTGAAGGACCCCAGCAGCATCTACCGCCAGTAAGCCAGCTGAAGAGGAGAGGGGGACCGGGGTGGGACACACAGGAAACTCTGGGTGAGCGCACCGCCTGGCTGCTAGGTCTTGCTGCTTACCTTCTCCCCTATCTGCTCCGCGAGGTCATCCAGCTCTCGGGACAACGTATGTATCTCCAGGGCCCCTTCCAGCTGCAGCTGGTACCAGAGTAGGTTGCCATGGAAACTCTCCCATCTGCCAAGGAGGGTGTAAGGCTGAGTCGGAGGTGGCCCTCCAGCCCCCTCTCCTGGCCCCACTGCCTCCCACTCTGGGACTGGCCTGCTATTCAGCTGCTGTCGCCGCTGGTGGATGGTCCTGACTTGCTCAGGGTCCAGGTTCTCGAGCTTCAGGGACAAGTCATTGACGCTCCTGATGTGGGTGTCATTCACTGTGTCCTGCAGGGGGGGAGCAGGGGGGGGGACAGTGAGGGCAGCGGCAACACCCACCCCGAGCAGTCACAGCACGTGGGGGGTCTGCCCGGGCCCGAGAGAGGTGAGGGGCAGGGTGTTGGGGGAGCAGAGGCAGCCGCACCCCCGGCTGGGCGCAGTGAGCTAGATGCCCTAGCGGCCTGCAGCCCCAGAGTGTCTGAGCCTAGGAAACACGCTCCTCGGTCAGAACCCGGCAGGCGATGATTAACAGAAGCTTTAAAGTTAAATTGCTCAGGAAAGCAGTTGGTAAGAAAGCAAGAGTAAGAATTGAGAATGAGAATTGATAAAAGCAAAGCAAATGGTGGAATGAAATGGTGAGCTTGGGTCTCCTGGTGTCGGAGTGTCTGCACCCCTACGAGTCCTGGGCTGGGGCTGCTTAGTGAGAGGGGCTTACGGGTCCATGGGGTGGGGGTCCCCGGCAGTGGGAGGGAGCGCAGGGGTCCTGCCCCCAGTAAGAGCAGCTAGTACTGGTGGAGCCACTTAAAATTCCCAAAGTGCTTCCGAGGAAGGGTCTCGTACGAGCTGGGCAGGGAAGGGGTCTTCTCTCCTCGTACAGATGCCAGAGCAGAGTCAGAGGCCACCATGGCTGATGCGTGGCCAGGCTGGGATCAGAGCCCCGCTCCTTGAGCCTCTCTGGCGCTCCTTCTACCGCAGCGCCTGGCACCGAGGCTGTGAATTCCACTAGCAAAGGGGAGCTGGGGGCGAGCACCGCGGCCTTTTACAAACCGTATGTACTGACGCCGGAGGGAGCACGGGAGCGTGTTTGGTCTCTAACACCTGACTATGACTACATTTGTCCTATTTCTTTCGTCTAGAGCACATAAGAGAAAGAGATTTGGGGGGTGCGTGTGGTGAGGAGGAGCCGAGAGGCTGAACGGGGCTTATGGGTAGTTGCAGTTTACCGCTGGATTATCCAGTCCACCCAGGCAGACGTGCATTCTTTTTTAAAATTTTGAAATAATTACAGATACACAGGAAATTGCAAAAGTAGTATGGAGAAGCCCCACGTACCCTCCCCCCAGGTCTCCCTGAGGGTAAAATCTTATATAACTGGGGCACAAAGTGGAAACCAGGAAATGGACATTATAACTACGAACCCGACTACAGGCTTTATTCGAAGTGTGTCTGTTTCTGCATGCGTGCATCTGTGTGTGGGGGGTACAGTTCTCTGCAGTTTTATCACAGGTATAGACTCGGGTAGCCACCCCCTCATGTCCTTGCTCCCTTACCTAAGAGGCAGGCGTTATCCCCATTTTATTTTATATTTTTATTTATTTATTTTTTAAAGATTTATTTGAGACAGAGAGAATGAGAGACAGAGAGCATGAGAGGGAGGAGGGTCAGAGGGAGAAGCAGACTCCCTGCCGAGCAGGGAGCCCGATGCGGGACTCGATCCTGGGACTCCAGGATCATGACCTGAGCCGAAGGCAGTCGCTTAACCAACTGAGCCACCCAGGCGCCCCGTTATCCCCATTTTAAAGATGGAGAAACTACGGCTTGGCGAGATGAGGGGGCCTGCCTGAGCACATGCAGATAGTAAGCATGGAGCTGTGGCTGGAGCCCTCCCCTGACCCATGCTGGGTCACTACTCGAGCGGTATGTCCCCCGTGGGGACACAGTGACTGACCTCTCCCCCACAGGGCCCCCTTACCCGGGCCCAGACTCCTGGGAGCTTGCGGAGCCGCCTGCGGAGCTGCAGACAGTGCTCAAGGTCCTGGCCCAGGTCGCCCAGGTTCACCATCGCCTCCTGTGGAGGCCGAGGGGTGAGGGTCTGGGGGCAGTGCTCTGAGGCCCAGTACCAGGGCACCCAGCCCCTCGAGCGGTGTTGGGGCAGGGGGCGGCTTTGGGAACTTCCTGCTGGGGCTCCCGCCTGTCAGGGAGCTGGGGAGCTGCAGGCCCGTCCTTGCCCCCATCTCTCAGCCCGGCAGGCCCACCCCAGCTCTGCCCCCACCCGGCTGCCTCTCACCGTCTCCTGGATCCAGGCCTCTGCAAAGTCAGCTCTCCGCAGAAACTCCAGGAAGTTCCATCTGTCCTCCAGGTCCTGGCCCCGGAGAGCCACCGCCTGTCTCAGCTTCCGCCAGTGTTCCTGCAGCACCAGCAGCTTCCGGGAGACCTCTCCTGCCCGAGGGTGGCTCTGGGCCAGGAGAGCCTCGCCGTCCTGGGAGACCGGACACCCGGAGATCTTGCCTGTCGCCCACCCCCTGCCTGAGACCTTTCCCCTTGGCCACCCGAGAGCCCACACTTTGGGGTAGGACTGGGGCCGAGGGCCTGGCTGTTACCTTGGTGACAGAGGTTATGAACTTCTCGTGGGCCTGGACCTCAGCCTCGAAGGCCTGGTGTTTTCCCAAGAGCCTCAACTTATCTTTCAGGTCCCCAGGAGGGATTGGCTCTTTCAGCTGCTGGACTCGCTCCTCGATCCAGTCCTGGGCCTGGTGGGGGTGGGGACATGAATCCCATGATGCCGGGGCTGCTTCAGTCCACAGAGATTCCCACACGCTCACTGTCAGCTGAGCCCAGGGAGTGGACTGCTGGCCCCCAGGGCTGGGCGAGGCAGTGCCGGGTAGGTGAAATCCAGTGCTTCTAGCCCAGCTGGCCCCCAGCCCCAGGGAAGGGCTGGGCAGGGCCTCTGGAGGGGAGGCTGGCCTGCTCCCAGGCCCAGATACTTGGCTCCCTCCCTCTGCCTCCCTGCCTCCCTGCCTCTCTCTGGCCTAGCCTTCACAGGCTCAGGAAGCAACAAGGTCTCTGCTCACAGTGTCTTTGAATCAAATGTTCTGGGTCCCAGCAAGGCCTCTGAGAAAGCCATTGAACCTTCCAGACTTCAGTGTCCTCATCACAGGGATGTGGTGAGGCCTGAAGGAGCCTGTGAAGGTGAAGGTCATCTGTGCACTATAAAATGTTGCCCAAGCGGAAGGCACAGGGTTGGGGGTGACCCTCTGACCTGGGTCACGGCCCTGGTGAAGCCAGTCAGCAGCAGAAAGGCATGCAAGGCTTGTCCCCGGCTCTCTGCCAGCTCCTTCACTCGAGCCCGATGCTCTAGCACTGTGCGGAGCCGATCCTGCACGTTGGGGCCCCCAAGTGTCTTCGCCTGCTCACACAGAGCTGCCTCCTGCGGGGGAGGGTTGGGGGGCTCAGTCTCCTGTTCTCCCACACTGGGAGGCTGGCCCAACGGGAAGCCCTTCCCTCAGCCCACCATGGCCCAGGGCTGGCTGGTACTCCCAGCAAGCCAGAACCAAACTCACAGCTCCCCTGTGACCATGTCATGTGGAGCCAAAGGGCTTTGGTATCCCCACAGTGTGGCTCTCTTCTTGAACCATACATCTCCCTCTGCTCAGCCAGCCCCAACCAGGCACCCCTATTCCCATAGGCTGTCCCTGTACATCAACATTACCTGTGGGTCACCAAGCACTCTATGTCCCCCATTCAAAACTCTCCAAAGTTTCTAGACTCCGCCCCCCCCCCACCCCTGATTTCTGAGCATGCCCAGTTCTCTCTGAGCCTCTTACCTTCTCATCTTGGGCAGTCAGAACTTTCTGGAAAATCCTGTGTTTGCGGATCAAGTGCTCTACCTCTTCCACTGAGTTCCCCAGGGCACTGGTTTTCAGGGAGACCTGGATCAGCCCATGGAGAAGTCAAAGAGGCCATCAGGGACTGTCCAGACAGCTGGGCCTCCCCACCTCCATTTGCAGCCATGTGGGCCTCCCATCAGGGATAAAGAAGGGGGAGCACGGGGAGCATGAGTTGTGGGGTGGGGGGGACCTGCCTCCTGGGCTGTGAGGATCTGGTCCAGGTGGCCACACTTTCTGAGGAAGAGCTGCTCCCGGTGCATGGCCTGCAGCTTCTCTTCCTTCTGCTCCCAGGCCTGGAACACCTGCTCCCGCTCATCCTGTAGGGCTCGCAGCCCTTCCTGGACCTGGGGACGGGCATGTGGGGAGCCCGCACTGGGGAGAGCCGCACGGACAAGATGGAAGCCGATCCTGAGGGAAGCCCCTGACGAGAGGCCAGCAGGGCACAGCGGGGCAGGGCGTGGGGTGATCGGGCTCAGACGAGGTCAGGGCAGGCTGGAAGGGGGGCACCGGACAAGGGGGCCCACCTCCTTGCTGGGTGTCCCTACAGCCAGAAGCGCCTGCTGGCCCAGCTGGGAGGCCCTCTGGTGCAGCTCCTCCCGGGCCTCCAGCTCTGCCCGAAGCTGCCGGTGGGCGCTGAGCAGCGTTAGAAGGCCACTGCTGGGCTCCTGGGAGTTCTCCTCTTCCTGCAGCTCCTGCCACACGGCGGCCACCCAGGAGGTGTAGTCCTGCACCTGGGTCCCCAGGAGACGGAGGGAGAGAGCTGGGTGAGGGCTGGGCTGGGCGGCAGAGAACCGGATTCTGAGGCCAAACTATAGCCTGCCCACGTCCACTCGCACAGCCGAGTAGCTGTCCCAGGTCAGAGCCTCCGCTGAGGCTCACAGGGCCTTTTGTCACCAGGTTCCTCTGAAGTCATCCAACCTAATCCTTCCAGGTCCACGAAATGTCCACATTTGCCACCTCCTCGTCACCCTCACAGAGACTCCTCACCCTTTGCTTTGGTGCCCGTCCTGCTTAGAAGCTCCTTCTCCTCCCTTCCAAGTCTTCCCAGCTCACCTGCTCTTCAAGGGCCAAGGCCTTGTTTGCCTCACGAAGGCCTCCCGGACACTATGACACCTCACTGCTCACCTTGTCCTCAGGATTTCTACTTTAATACTTACAAACTGTCTTCTGATTTGTGTTCACAGTGTTCGAGCTGGAGGGGCCTCGGATCCTTGTCCAAACACCTCATTACAGAGGTGAAGCAAGGTCAGTAGCACAGTATGTATGAAGGAGGTACTCACAAACAGAGGGCGACAACTAAGGCTCCGTGCCTTGCTCACGCTCATGCTACTAGAAAGTAGCCAAGGAGGATCCCTCAGCTCCAGCCCACGTGCTCAGTGCTCTGACCGGCCAGCCAGCCAGACGTACCCACAGTCTTCTAACTCATGTCCGCACTGGGTTTCCCTCCAGAGCAGGAGGGCCTCAGTAGTACACGCACATGCATGGTAACGCACACGCACACGCGCACGCACACCGCCCAAGAGGAAGGAGCCCCCACCGCTCGGTGGAAACGGGCCAGGAGGCACGCCCGCTCCAGCTGGGTCCTGCGCTGTGCTGAGCGTAGCTTCAGGGCCTCCCAGGCCCGCACCAGAGTCTGCTGCCTCTGCCGCACGGCGTGGGCCTGGGGCCCCGGCCCCAGCTTCTGTGCTGCGCTCGCGGCCTCTAGCAGTTCCTGCAGCTGGGGGCAGGTGGAGTATAGGGAGGGAAGGGTCACGTCCTCCTAGAGGCTGAAGGGCCTGCCCATCCCACAGAACGCCCCCCTCGAGCCATGCCCTGCCACGCACAGTAGGCCCAGTTGGAGGCCCTGCGGGAGGATGGGAAACCCAGAGGAAGAGATGGACAGGCCTGAGCGGGCCTGTAGGGGCCCGGGTGGGAGAGGCAGCTAGACCGGCTCACCTGCCGCCCAGTGCCCACGAGCTCATGCTCCAGCTCTTCGTGTCTCCTCAGCTGGGCCTCCAGTCCACGCAGGTCTGGGGCCACCTCACTGGGGAGGCCTGTGGCTTTCTCCTGAGGAGAGGAGATGGCCAAGGCCGTCAGAAATAGAGGGTGGGGCACTGAGCCTGGGGTGGATCCACTTCTAGAAAGAACCCCCTTCCTCCCCCCGGGCTCGTACCTGGACCTGCATGAGGGCTTCCAACAGATCTCTGTGTACTCTGAGGGTGACCTCGGCGTCTTGGAGCAGGTGGCCTTGGGCCTGGGTCAGCTCCCACAGCTCCGACCAGGCAGCCCTGTCCCCGGGGAATGTGGAAGACCAACGGGAGGTGAGCCATTGGCGCTGCATCCCATTCCACCCTTGGCTAGTCTTGTCAGCCCTCCTCCTCTCTGGGCTGCATCCAGGACTGGCCCAAAGCTCCCCTTCTGAACCCCCTTTCCTGCCTCAGGGCCTGCCTGGAGCCTTTCCAGCTTCACCATGAATTCAGTCCTTCGTCGCTATCATGCTCAGACCCTGATTTCTATGCTTTGTGGTCCTTCTTCCGTCTTGTGTATTCCAGTCTCAATTGTCAATCAGATTATGAATGTTCAAGGGCAGAAGTCACATCTTTTCTCCATTCCTCATGTACTCAGCCAACTCTCACGGAGCTTCTAGGGCTTCCACCAGGCCAGGCTCCATGCCAGGGGTCATGGACAAGTCAGGCCTGGCCTCAGAGCTCGCAGGCTGGAGTTGGGGCTGGGAGGGACCCACGCCAGCCGGGTGGCAGCTAGGCAGTTCCTTCCCCAAGTCCCGGGAGCCAGGGGTTTGGATAAGTGTCCCCGGGGGTCCGGGCAGGACTCCCTGACCTGCACACCCAGCTCTGCCTCCCTTCTAGGCCGCGGTCACCAGGGCCTGGCTCAGCCTCCCTGGGACCCGCGCCCTCTCTAGAATCCTCGCGGGCAGGCAGAGCCAGCGTGGCCCTCAGAGCAGCCTACCCTCTCTTAACACCCCAAGAGCTGCCTGCACCGTTCGCTCCCCCAAACCTGCACCCCCGGCCTAGCCCACTGGGCACTCACTGCAGGTCCTGTTGCCTCTGCCGGGCATCGGGGGCGGCCTTGTGCCCGAACTCCAGCAGGCTCTCTACCAGCGGCAGGCAGGCTGCCACCCACCGGCCGCCCAGCTCCACCTGGTGCTGGAACCTTGCAAACTTGGTGCGGAGGTGCTGAGGAGAAGAGGGGAGTGGGTGACGGAGCGGCCCCCCGCTGGTGAGGCTGCAGGCGCCTCCTGACCGTCTGGGCAATGACAGGTGGGACAGCCACGTGCCTGCACACCTCCTCAGAAGGCCTGTCCTTGGCCAGCACTCCCGACTCCCATGGCCCCCTTCTCCACAGCCCTGCAGGCCAGCCCGCTGCCCCCAGCCTTCCACCGGAGGGTGTCCTCCCAGCCCCAGCCCTTCTCACCAGGATGTGCGCATGGTCTTCTCCGAGGCTCTCCACTGGCCCGGCCGCCAGCTTCTGGCTAGCCAGCCAGCTCTGCAGCTCCTCAGCCTCCCCCATGAACTCATGCAGCTTCAGAGTCCCCTCCAGCTCCCGGCCCCTGGGGGGACAGCCCGTGGTTCCCACCTGCACACTCCCCTGGGGACAGCTGGCCCAGCGGAAGGGGGGAACCTGAAGGAGCTTATTTGTGGTCTCTGCGCAAGCCTGTGGCTCTGGATTCGGGGAGAAGTAAAGCCAAGAGGGCCAGTGCAGGGCAGCAGGTGCATATGCAGGGAAGAAACGAGAGCTGGGAGCTGGGTGCAGGGGGCTGAGCTCCTGCCCAGTGGGCCTAGTTGCGGACTTGATGGAAGGAGGTGAGTGACACCCAGCAAGGACTCCTCTGACACATCTCTGTGGGCCTGGGGCCATGGTTTGCTTCCAACTCAGGGTCACAGTATGGGAACAGTCAACCGTGGCTAGGCCCCCCGTACCCAGAGTGGGTGCAGTAGCCCTTACCATGTGGCTGCCCACTCCCGCAGTGCTTGCAGCTGCTCCCGGAGCCTCTCCCGGACCACGGCCAGCGGCTCAGCGGCCCCGGGGCCAGCGAGCTTTTGCGCCCTCTGGTCAAGCTTCTCCAGGGAGCTCCAGTAGAGAGCCAGTTCCTGCTGCAGGGCCTGCCAGAACACATGCACCCAGGCCAGGCGCAGACTGGGTGGCTCCTTCATCTACCCACCCATCCATTCAGCCACGGATCCTCAGACCCATCCATCCACTCATCTACCCACCATTCATCCCCAACCCATCTCTCCAGCCATGCACCCATCACCCACCTCCCCGATACTGATGGAGTTCTTACTGTTCCATAGAAGTGAGGACATAGGGGTGCCCTCAGAGGGCTCATTATTTAGCAAGGGAGGGTAAGTGAGGCCAAGGGGGGAGGGCACGGGAGGCACTGCACTAGATCCCAACGATACAGTAGACCGCGACAGCCGGGGCTAAGCGAGCTGCCCAGGATGTCTGGGACACCGAAGCGCCACAAGGGCATGGCTCTAGGCACGCCCTGTAGGAATGGCTGAGAAACCCATGCCCAGGCAAGAGGACGCTTCAGTGCCAGCCGGAACCAGGGCTGCTGTGGGGTCCAGGGCTGTGGGGTCCTGAGAGTCCGAGACCAGGAAGGAGGAGGGTGCTCCAGGCCTCCCTCCCTTTAACCAGGGGGATGCTTGTGGGGGGAGGTAGGTTTCAGGAGGGCATTTGGTTAACTCAAAGGGTGACATTCAAAGTGTGGGAGGAAGAACCCTGCGGAAGATGTGGGGAGGGTTAGAACAGGTGACCCCAAGAGGGGAGAAGGTACTGGGGCAAGAGAGAAAGAAAGCAGAGAAATCCCAAGGCTGCAGGGGTGTAAACTGGTCAGTGTAAACTGGTCCAAGAAGGGGGGCAGGAATTCTTCAAAGGGCTGTCTCTGAAGAAGGGGAGCACTGGGGATGGGCAGGGGGCCTTGCTGGACTTGGTGGGCTGGCAGGAAAGGAGCTGGCCATATCTTCAGGGAGAAACAGCAGGGCTCTGTGCCTCTGGGAAGGAGGATGTGCCCTCTGCAAGTGTGACAGCCCTCTCCGTGGCTCATCGTCACCCCGGTGCAGACCGTGTGGAGGCTGCCCGGGACATGGTACCTGGTGCTTCCCAATGAGCCTGATGGTTGCTGCCTCGTCTTCACCACAGTCCTGACTGCTCACCAGGGGCTGCTTCTCCTTCACCCAGTCCTCCAGCTCCGACGCAGCCAGCAAACACTGCCAGGAATGAGGCCACCTCACCCTGATGATGTCAGATGGGACCTTCCACCACCCCTCGGGGACATCATGCTAGGCTCTCCAACAGCCCGAGCGGAGAGGATTCTGTGCCCATTGGGGACTAGCCAGCTCCCGGGCCAGGGTTCTCACAACTGACGCGCCCCCTGAGAGGCCCAGCTCCTGTAGACCTCACAGCGTGATCCCGGATGCTCTCCACTTCCTACCTGCTGGAGAGCGACAGCCTGCTGCAGGCACTGGGCCTGCGCCTCACACGTCCGCTCCAGCTCTGCCCAGCGGTCCTCCAGCTTCTGGCACTGCTCCAGGATGCGGGGGGCTTGGGGGTGCCCCGAGGCTGCAAGGCTCCGTCCGGAGCCCAGAACCTGCTGCACCTGTCCCTGGTGGGCTTTCACCTCCGCCCGGAGCTCCTGCCATAGAACAGGATGACAGGCTGTCACCTCCGGGTTCCCTTAGTCACAGGGGGCCTGGAACAGAGCCGTGGATGTGGCTCCGGGCTCCACTGGGGCAAAACTCCTGGGCAGGGAATAACTGGGGGCAGAGACTTGGAAATCGGGACACCCTGACTGGTGATATTCTAAAGTCTAGGAATGGGAGGTCAAGGATCCTGGAAGGAAAAGGGGGCCGCTACCTCGTGCTTGCGGCGAAGGCTCTGGGCACCGCTGGCGCATGGGGCGGAGCCGGCACTGCGCATGTGCTCAGCCACCCAAGTGAGCTCCACGTTGCTCAGTTGGTAGAACTGATACAGCTCCACCGAGGCCTGCAGCTGTAGGCGCCGGGCGGCCAGATGTCCCTGCAGGGACTCGAACCTGGGGGGAGGCAGAAGAGGGCGGACGGTGGGAATGGCGGTGGAGGGGGGCGGACAAGGCCCTCAGGGCTTTCCACAGCCCAGCCAGGGACCCACGAGGAACAAAGCAGAGGATGGGGGAAAGCCTCATCTGACAACAGGGAGGCAGCTGGAGAGGGCCCAGGGCCCAACCCTTCGCCCAGGTGGCCTGCTTGACTTCAGACTGTGGGGTACTGAGGATGCCAAGTTGGGGTCTCTGGCCTTCCTAAGCCAGGAATGACCCTCCTTGTAAGGGAAGGAGATTTGGACAACCTCAAGTCCTGTAGATGCCACTGCTGGGCTCACGGGGTGAAACCGTCCTCATGTTCACATGGTGGGGGGTGGCACAGAGTGGGGTGAAGATGGAGCAAGCCGGTGGGTACCTCTGTAGGCACTTTTGGGTCTGCTCCACGATGGTCTGGGAAGTGAGCCCCTGGCGGGCCTGGGACACAAGGGCAGCCATCTTGCCGGCCAGGGCCTGGCTCTCGCTTCCCAGTTGGCCGTGCCGCTTCTGGAGCCCCCGGCTCGAGCCCAGGTCCTGCCCGGTTTCTGCGCTCTGCAGGGCCCCGTCCAGCTGCTCCATCTTCTCCTCGGCAGCCTGGGGAGAGTGCAGGGCTCTGCAGCGTAGGCTTGCAAGTTCTTGGACTCCGAGACCACACCGCCTGCAGCTTACCAGATTCACCGAGGACCTGCTCGGGACCCCGGACCCCCCGTCGTCCCCCCCGCCCCGCACCCGGAGCCTCATGAACACTCCCGTCCCCTCCTGCTTCTTCCCCCACAGGGATTCCGGTTGTGCTGACTACACTCTGGGCACACAGGAGACACACTGGCAAAGCTGGGCTCCCCTTGCCAGAAGCTAGAGGCCTCTAAAGACTGCAGGACTTCCCAGGGCTACTCCAGAGTTAGCAGAATACCCCAGACTCCTCCCCACCCCTTCCCGTCCTGCTTGTTCCCCCCACCCCCCAGCCTGGCCCAGCGCAGCCTCAGTCCCCCTCCTGTGCCCTGCCCCTCTTCGGCAGACCTGCAGCAGCCCCAGAAGCTGTCTGGCCTGCCGGAGCCGGTCCCCCTGCTCGGCCAGCTTGTGCTTCAGCTCTTCCCACTTGCTACTCAGGCACTGGAGGCTGGCCTGCACGTCTTCCCGGGCACGGGGCCTGTCGCTCAACAGCTGTCTCCCCACCTGGAGCGGACACAAAGGCCGAGGGAATTTTGTTGAGTTGCTGGTACCATGAGGGGCCACAGCAGGCGGGACCCAGGTGGCGGGGGCGGGGGCGGGTAGTTGGCTACAGGTTGCATTCTCCAGGCTGCAAGGGCTCAGGCATTTCCCGCAGCCCCAAATCTGTGGGCAGAGGCGAGCGGGCTTTCCGCCGATGCTCCCAGTCGAGCAGGGTGAGCGCGCAGCGGATCGGTAGGGAAGTCTTTGTTCAGGTGGACGTGGCAGCCCCAGAGCTGCCTGGAGAGCTGGGGGTGGCGTTGCGGGGAGAGATGATGGAGGCGTTCTGGGCTGGTTTGGGCACCAAGACAGAGGGGTACCCAGCTGAGTGGGGGAGGAATCTGGGGGATCCTAATTCCGCAGTAACTGAGAATGAGTCTTCCTGCGGTGAATTTGTTCCATGGAAACAGGCCATCCATCTGGGCTCGGTATTTGAAGAAGAAAAGGCCCGGCACCCCTGTGCGGCGCCCCCACCTGCTGCAGGCCCTCCACGTGCCCATAGGTGGCCAGCAGCTCGCGCTCAGCTGCTTCGTGCCGCTTGAGCTGCTGCAGGATGTTGCTGGGCTCTCGGGAAGGCTCATCCGCTGCCCTCAGCCCCTTCTCCTCTATCCACAGCACCAGCTCCGCCACATCCTGCTTCCATTTCTGCCCAAGAACCAGGAGAGAATGGGTCTCATGACCAGGGGTGAGGGCTGTTGCATGAACCTCTAGAGAGAGGGGTCTCACGGACCTCCACGGGAAAGCGCAGGACCCAGTGTGCCAGGTGGGGCCTGGGTTACTGCTCGCAAGTGGGGGCAGGGAAGCTGAGACGGGGAGGGAAAGGTTTCCCCTCACGGTAGGAGGAGGCCCGGGGAGGGACGGCCTGGGCCCCATGGTGCCCTGGGCCCAGAGAACAAGAGCACTCGGTCAGTTCTCACTACTCAGCCCACCTCAGATCATGTACGGCCATTTCTCTCCTAATAGGCTTATGCTACAGGAGGCCTGTAGACTGACCCAGCTCTGAGACCCTGTGGGGGCTGAAAAAATATGTGACAGAGCCGAGGTCTGCAGCGGGTGCCCATGGCGCACACATGGGCCTAGACTGTGGCCAGAAATGATGGGCAAGGGGGTTTATCAGGACTTTGGGTCCAGTGCCGCCTCCGAACAGTGTGGCCTCAGCCTGTTCTCCTCATCTGGAAAAATCAGAGCCATAATGCGGGTCTCACAAGAGGGGCCATGAGGGTCAATGACAGAACACGTGGGAAAGTGCTTTGCAAACTGTGGAAGGCTCTGCACAGCTCCGCAGCCGCGGACTCCTAGGCACTCCTCCGGGGGAGGGGGGGGCCTCGGGCACCTGGGCCAGCCTCACCTGGAGCTGGAGGGAAGCCAGCAGCTGCCTCCTCCTCTGCTCACTCCTCTCCTGGACCCTGGCCCATTGTACCTGGATGCTCTGCAGCCGCTCTCGGACCCTGCAGGCCAGATGGAGAGGGGGAGGGCTGGGGGGGGGCGCTCACTCCGCCCAAGGCCCACCGCAGCCCAGGTTGTGCCCTGCTGCTGCCCTGCCCCCCACACCCCCTCCCAGCCTCCAGGCCGCAGGCCTTGCAGGCCGGGAAAGAAAGGTGGCAGGTGCTGCGCACGCGGGCCTTGACTCACTTGTGCGCAGCAGGGTGTTGGCTCGGGGCCAGCTTCTCGCCACGTGCCCACAGAGCCTCTGCTCGAAGGCCAAGGACACCCAGGAGCCACCCAAACTCCTGGTGCTGCTGCAGCAGGCTCTGGGCCTCCCCTACATCGTCCTGGGGGTGCAGAGACCCGGGGTCATGCTTGGGACGATGGGGTCAGCACCATCTTGTCCACCGCTGGCCCCAGGGCCACCAGGCCCGCCCCCCCGACTTCAAAGCTCCCCCCAGTGATGGGGAAGCAGCCCTGCAGCCCCGTATCCCTGGCCCCCTACCCCAAGCTTGTCCTGCTGCAGGAAGGCCTCGTGGCTGGCACAGGTAGCAGCAAAACCATCTACGTCTCTGCCAAATCTCTGCAGCTCCAGTCCCTCCTGCAGCTGCTGCCGTCGCCGCTCCCAGGCGGCCTGCAGGCCCTGGCCTTGCTGGCTCAGGAGCCTCAGAGCACGGGCCACCTCTTGGGAGTCTGGGGAGTCCAAGGCAGAAATGGCCTGGCCCTGGGCCTCCAGCTGCTGCAGCCTGTCCAGGATGACAGGCAGAAGGTCAAACCCCGTCAGCTCCTCTCCTCCCCCTTCCGCTCCTCTCCCTTGATCATTCATTTCAGAGCCCCGATAGAGGGGGAACTGGCAGGGGCGTCTGAGGACGGTAGCCCCAGTGGGTCACCTGTCCCCTGGAGCAGCTGCGCCCGGGCGCACCGGTGATGCGCAGAACATACTGGGCCTAGCACACTCCTTAGGTCTCAGTAGTGGCCCTGCTCCCTGTCCTGTCACACCCTTGTTCCAGGCCACCATTCTACTGGCTATGCCCAGGCAAGGAGAAGGGTCCCTCAAACCGCATCCGTGCCACCGTATGCTCATGAGCATTAGAAAGGGTGCCTCTCAGCCAGTTGAGCGCACGGGCACACAGCTTGGGGACAGGTGACACCTTTGTGTGGGTTAGAAAAGGCTCCACTTCCTCTGAGGTGAGGCAGCCCTGAACCATTAGTAGAGTCCGGAAGCAGAGGATGGGATGGATTGAGTGCCCACTTGGTCACCTTCGGGCTCCCCTACGTGGACACAGCCTGTGGACTGTGCGTGGTGACCCTGCCTGCCTGACAGACCTGTGCCATCATCCCTGCAGGATGAGAGGTCCAGCCATCCTGAGGAGGAGCCATCTGACTCCAGGAGCCTGTGGGGTCTGCATTATCTGGAATGCCTTGGGAGGCTAGGCTGCCCTGACTAAAAGCAATCCATCAGGCTCACCTGGATGGAATATGGCCAAGCCTGCACTTGACAGAACCTTCCAGGAAGCTCAGATTCTGCCCTGCATCCCAACCCCCCTCCCTGAAGTATGCAGGATGCCTGACCAGTTCTTGGTTACATCCCCCTCCTTAAAACCTGCTGGACACTAGCCTGGGCTACTCTCCCGGGTGACACTCTGCTTCCTGCCTCTCCCTCTCTGGTGGCCTGTCCCCACAGGCCTTAGCCAGCCCGAAGCCCGCCCTGTCTGCCCTCCCATCCTGACCTCTCCTGCTGCAGCTGGATCTCCTCCAGCAGGTCTCTGTGCTCCATCAGCAGCCGCTGGGCCGAGGCCACATCTGAGGCCACATCCACCACCTTTGCCTCGCTGCGCAGCTGAGCCCAGACACCTTCTGCCCACAGCAGCAGATGCTGACTCTCCCGCAGGAAGCTCCGCCGCGCCCGCGCTTCGGCCTGGGCCCTGGCCTGTCGGGCCACATGCCGCTGTCCCCGCTCCAGCAGCCCGTGCAGCCGCTCCACCTGTTCTTGCAGGGACCGGCTCTCTGTGGGGTCCGACTCCTCCGCTCTGGGAGATGGGGTCCACCGCCTCATCAGTGCACTGCCCCGGGGCCTGGGGTCCAGGCTTGGATTCCCCAGGGGAAGGGGTGGCGATTCCGCACTCCCATCTCCCCCTCCCCTAGGGGCAGCAAGTCTGTGTGGCTCGCCCTTTCCTCGGAGCATTTCCTCATGCTCTTCCCCCACCTGCGCCCCTGCCTTTCAGACAGCACATCCTGCCCATCCTCCAACTTCTGGCCCAACCTCATTCCACAACCCTGCTCAGTCCTCCCCTGCCTCCCAGGGCCCCGTCACCGTGCCAAACCCAGGCTGTACTTCATGGCCGCCCTTTGCAGGTACTGGACGCTGCTCTCCAGCGTTAGCATCTTCTGCTGGGCCAGTTGCAGGGCGTGGTGGCTGTCCTCTGACTGCCCCAGCTCTAGGGTTTCCAGCTGGAGTATCAGGTCTTGCAGTTGGACCTGTGTGGATCCACACTCGTGCAGAAAACTGCACACACCTGTGGTGCGTACCAGCTGCGTTTCCTTCTCTTTCTTCAGGGCTTCCAGCTGCCCCCACCTGAGCGGAGGGAGCAGGGATGTCTCCAGCACGGGGACATCCCCATCCATCCTAGGGCCTTGGCCAGGGCCTCACAAAATAGCTGCTACCAGGCTGGCCGTCCCCACACCCTGTCTCTGACATGCCCAGTGTTTGCTCTTGGCATCTGGGGAGGTGGGTAAGCAGGCATGCAGGCCTGGGAACTGCATTCAGCCCATCCTGCACTCCCTCATTCTTACCTCCGGCTCAGTTCCTCCTGCTGTTGCTGGATTTGGGGGGTATCTTCAGGATATCTCTGCTTCAGCTGCTCCGCATTGCTGCTGACCTCAGCCCAGCAGCCCCTCCCCACAGCCAGGGCAGTGAGGAAGTTCTGAGGAAAGGAAGACCCAGGCCTTGAGGGAGCTTCTTCTCTTCCCATACTGCCCTCAAGACTACAAATGACCTCAGACACGCTCTGCTACATAGGTGTTTGAGTTGGATCCCTCTCTAAGGACTGGGATCTCTGTCCTTAAAGGGCTGGGAGGGTCCTTTAAAAGTTCAAAGCCAGGTATCCAAATTAGAAAGAAGTAAAACTGTCACTATTTGCAGATGACAGCGTATTATATACAGAAACCCTAAAGACCCCACCAACAAATTGTTACAACAAATAAATGAATTCAGCAAGGTTGCAGGGCACAAAATCAATCTATGGGAATATTTTGCATTTCTGTACACTAATAATGAACTATCAGAAAGAGAGATTAAAAAAAAAATCTCATTTACAATTGCATTAGAAAGAATAAAATACCTAGGAATAAATTTAACAGAAGAGATGAAAAACCTACACACTGAAAACTATAAGACACTGATGAAAGAAACTGGGAAAAAACCCATAAATAAATGGGAAGATATAGCATGCTCATGGATTGGAAGAATTAATATTATTAAAATGTCCAAACTACTCAAAGCAGCCTACAAATTCAATATAATCCCATCAGAATTCCAATAGCATTTTTCACAGAAATAGAACAATCCTAAAATTTGTATGGAAACACAAAAGACTCTGAACAGGAATAGCAGTCTTGAGAACAAAGTCAGAGGCATCACGCTCCCCGATTTCAAACCATATAGTTTACTATAATGAGCTATAGTAATTACTTATAGTAATCAAAACAGTGTGGTCTTGGCATAAAAACAGACATATAGATCAATGGAACAGAATAGAGAGCGCAGAAATAAACCATGTACGTACGGTTAATTAATTTATGACAAAGGAGCCAAAGATATACAATGAGGAAAGGACAGTCTCTTCAACAGTGCTGGGAAAACTGGACAGCCACATGCAAAGTATGAAACTGGACCCCTACCTTATACCAGAAACAACAATAGATTCAAAATGCTCAACACCAAAAGCAAATAATCTGATTGAAAAATAGGCAGAGGACCTGAATACGCATTTTTCCAAAGAAGACATACAGATGGCCAACAGATACATTCAAAGGTGTTCAACATCACTAATCTTCAGGAAGATGCAAATGAAAACCACAACCAGAGACCACCTCACACCTGTTAGAATGGCTGTTCTCAAAAAGACTAGAAAAAAGTGTTGGCGAGAACTTGGAGAAAAGGCAACCAGTGTGCACCGTTGGTGGGAATGTCAAGTGGTGCAGCAACTATGGAAAAGAATATGGACGTTCCTCAAAAAATGCAAAATAAAACTACCACATGGTCCAGCAATTCCGCTTCTAGGTGTTTAGCCAAAGAAAATGAAAACACTAACTTGAAAAGATAATCTGCACCCCCATGTTTGTAGCAGCATTATTGACAATAACCAAGATATGGAAGCAACCCAAATGTCCACTGATGGATGGAAAAAGAAAATGTGGTATATATACCTACCACATCCAAGAGAATTAAATATTTCTTTCATACTATAAAAAAGAATGAAATCTTGCCATTTGGGACAACGGGATGGACCGCGAGGGCATTACGCTACGTGAAATAAGTCAGATAGGGATAAACACTGTATGATCTCACTTCAATGGGGGACTTAAAAACACAAAACAAAACAAGATACAGAGGACAGATTGGTAGCTGTCAGAGTAGGGAATTGGGGGTGGGTGCAATGGGTAATGGGGGTCAAAAAGCACCAACTCCTAGCTATAAAATAAATAAGTCATGGGGATGGAATATATAGCATGGGAACTACAGTTAATCATACTGTGTTGCATATTTGAAAGTTGAAAGAGCCCCCCAGTTCTCATCCCAAGAAAAAAATTCTGTAACTATGTGTGGTGATGGATGTTAACTAGACTTATTGTAAAACGTACACGTGTATTGGGTCATTATGTTAATAATATGTTATATGTTGATGATAACTAGACTTACTGTGGTGATCGTTTCACAATACATACAAATATCCTATCCTCATGTTGCATACCTGAAACTGATATCATGTCATATACCAGTTATACCTCAATAAAAAAAAAAAATTCAAGGCCAGACGCCCTGCTCCTCCTTCCCAGACAGGACTAGAGTGAACATGGCCAGGTCAGGCACGGGCGCAAATACCGGAGAGGCAGGGAGGGAGAAGGATGGGGGAGAAGGAGGGGCAGCGGGGCCGAGCAGCTGAGACCCCCACCTCGGCCCAAGGGGGGCGGTACCTCATATGTGAGCTGTGTGACCTCCAAGTTGTGGGCCTGGGGCTGCAGCGTTCGGAGCAGGGCTGTCTGGTTCTCCAGCCAGGACCACAGCTCCCCACAGAAGCCATGGAAGCCACACAGGGCTACTGTCCCCTCCAGCCGTGCCCTGTGGTGCTGAGGAGAGGCCGGCCCAGGGGTGGGGGTGAGGTCAGCTTCCCCATAGGGCCCTCAGAGCGGTCCCGTCACCCCTCCGGGCAGAATGTACTCTTTTGATCTGGCTCTCAGGTGCAGCCATACTCCTGTGGGAACTGGCTCTGCCTAGCCCTCCAGGCTCTCCCCCTGCAGCCTACCCCTCCCAGCTTCACTTCGGGGCTCCAGGCACTCTGGCCTTTACTCCTCCAGGGCCTCCTTCCTGCCTTGGCATAGGTCCTGCCTAGGGCATGGTCTCCCCTGCCCCCCCCACCCCGCCCGGCTTTACCTGCCCTTAGCCCCTCCTTGTTCCAGTCTCAGCCAAAGTGTCCTTTCCTCAGAGATGCCCTCCCCAGCTCCCAGCCTGACCTGGGCTCCCAGCACACCCACAGCCATCTACTGATTTCTCATCCTCCCTGCCATGACGTAAACTCCTTGCGGCCGGCGTGCACGTCCAGTAAGTGCTCTCCTTGCGGCCGGCGTGCACGTCCAGTAAGTGCTCAGTCCCTGGGCTCACAGCTCAGGGTCCTGTACAGAGCAGGTGCTCCCTGACCATCTTCTTGAACAAGAGTGGTACCTTTGCCAAGGCCTGCAGGCCCTCATAGTCCTGGCTCAGGCAGTCCTGTGTCTGGAGTATGGTGTTAGGGTCAAAGTTAGCGTCAGGCTCAGCCGAGAGGGCCATCTTCTGGGTGCCCGGGGGGGCGGAGTGGCAGGAGACCTCACTCCAGGTCCCCAGGTGCCTCAGGCCTTCCTTTGGAGAGCTCAGGGCAGACACCACCTGTAGTGACAGGACAGAGGGCAGCATGTCCACTGCGGGCTCCCCTAAGCACAGAAGGCTTGGCAGGGAGGGGCCAGCGGTTGTCCCTGGGCTGGTAAAAGAGAAGAGGGCATTCCAGAAGGAATGCCTGGTTAATGCCTGGAAACTGGCGGGCGAAACGAGCAAAGCCAGACTATACTGGATGACCTCCATAGGCGTGGGCAGACAGGATGCCCCGCACTGGGCTGGGCGGGAGGCGGGATGTTGCTGAGGATGGGTGCCCGCTCCCCCAGCCCAGCGGAAAGCCAGGATTCCCAGGTCAGCGGCCACAAAAGCCCTCCCATCTCCACCTTCCGAGCGGTCACGGGACACAGGGGCAGCGCTGAGACCACGC